AGGATATCTTTAAGACGCCTGAAGAGACCGCCAAGGGCACTTACAAGAAGGCCTCCGAAACGCACAAGTCGTATCATTCCGTTCTAGGAAAACGCGCATATTTATCATAATCGCACCTTTTGGTTTTCGACGGCCCAGCAGGCCCCCAAAATCGCTCCAGACTGGCCCCAGAGGTCTCCTAGAGAGGCCCAAGGGTGCCCCAAGACGGATCAAGAGGCTTCCAAGACGGCCCACGAGGGCCCCAAGACGGCCCCAAGCGGGGTCCAAGAAAGGGAACACGAACGAACTTTCGAGCTATCCGTCCGATAACGACCAGCAAGCTTCCGAGAGGCCTCGGGCAGACGCGGGATGGGTCCGCGGCCACTCGGTATACCTACCGGGGGCCCCCGACATGCGCCGGTGCACCAATCCTTGCCTGCGCACTCCGACGCGCGGAGCGCTCGACGTCCGCATTCCCGCTACAGCCGCACGCCACGGCAGCGCCGTGGCTCTAAAGCAGAACAGTGCGTTGTCCTCCGGCAGCGGTCGCCGTCCACGAAGGCTTCAGCCGAAATGGCTACGTCCTCCTCGCCCTCCTCACGGCCCAAGGTGGCCACATGACAGCCCAAGAGGCTCGAGGCGCCGCACGAGGACACGGATAGGGCTGGCAAACAAAAACATAAATTCTTGGAAGGTGTTACGATGGGGGCGCATGGCAAGGAACCCTCAGATGAGGAATCCAGGGTCTGGGAGCCAGTGGAACTCCAATCGTGGATCGGCCATGGATATCACCGCTGCCTTCGTCAGCTAAGAACCCTCCAGGGTCTGAAGCCTCCTGTGCACATTCCCCCAACGTAGCGCTCCTGCTATTCTTAGGCTTCAGAAAGCCCGAGGCGACCCCAGAGGCCTCCGAGATCGCCCGACACGTCCCCGAGAGGCGCAAGGAAACTCCACGAGACCGCTGAGCCAGAGCCCGGTCGCGGTGGCTCCATGGGTCGAAGATCACTGAATCTCAAAGAGCTCGCCGTCGCTTGGACGTCCATTCCCCGTGCATTTGTCGGCTTCGCGCGCTTATTTTTCCGCAAGATGATCCAAGATGCTCCTCGATGGCCCTTTCAGAAAAATGCGCAAGTCCGAGCGATGCCAAGAGGAGGGCCGAAGGCGCTGGCCACCGTCTCGTTGGCCGACACGCTGCCGACCAGCTGGACCCCGCAGGAGCGTGTCGCCTCGCCAGCCAGACTCGAGAGCCAGAACTGCCCGCGCGATGAAGAAACGCAACTTGAGCAAGGCTCGGCGAACGATTTGGAACGCCTCTTTCGGCATTCGGTTTTCGGATGTCTGCAGCGAGATCCTATTGTTTGGAGATCCGCAAACACATTCAACATATTTTTTTTCATGCTCTGAGGATGTCTGCAGCGCGAGCATCATATCTTACCAAAAACTTCAAGACAAAACAAATCCCCCAGCGAGGGGCCCTGAACCACTCCAGTCCCTAGACGCCGCCCAACTCAAACCTGTATACTCTCCTGTTGGCCTGTCTGCGACGGCCATCGCGCGGCTCTCCGAGCCCAAGCGTGCTTCCCGTCGTCCGCCACGGCAGAGAGCAGGCGTGACACCCAGCCTCTATCCTCTTGGATTTCTCTAGGCATGTACTGATTTCCCTCGGGTCCGTATGTGACGTCCATCACGCAACTCGATGGGTCTAAGCGCGCTTCCCATCATGTCGTCGGGCGGTCGGGTACCCGCAGAAGGAAATCCAAGCGCCTGTTTGAACGAATACACGAGGCAAGCAAGACTCCTTGGCCTTCTGGGTGGTGTCGCCCTGCTTATGAAGCTGGTCGCCCCGAATCATCGCGGTCAGACCCGATAGAAAGAAAAACCCCAAAAAGGGGTCGGCGGATGTGGTTCAAGCCTGAAGAATAACCCACCCTCGTCACACCACCAAACGTGACGGTAGGTCGGGCACGAAATTTCGCCTGAGGCTTCATCACTGAAAACCGCGAGTATCACAATCCCCACAAGCTTAAAGTATGGAGGGACGGGCGGTTTTGAAAACGTCGCCCTCGCCGTAGCGCCGCGCACTTTCGCTCCAAACGCGTCCAAACAGTACGGAACTAGAGGGCCGGACGCTTTCTTTCATGCTGCTCGCCTTAGCGCCGCGGGCTTTCGTCTTAGAAACTCCCATCAGCTTCACAATTGGATGGCGGGTCGTTTTGATCATGTTACTCTCGCCTTCGCGGCGCGCACACGCGCACATCCTAGAAGCCCAAAGCCTGGAGGGCAGCTGCCTCTCAACATTTGCGTCTGTTTCACCGTTCCTCAGCATCTACCACGCGACGAGTACACGATGAGCAGCTTTTGCTCGGGTGGAGGACGGCTTCTTTTCAAAGCGGGCTATCCCTTCAAACTTCCTCAACGCGTCTCATCAAAAGCGCACACATTGTGCAACAACCCGAATTTACTTTTCAAAACGGGTGTTCTCGCTGGACATGTTTTCAATTTGTTTCGGCCGACTTGGAGCAACGTGCAGCAACTACATGGACAAATGGCGGCACCTTTCAAAAGGTGCTCTCGCTGGACACTTCCTTCAACTGTTCGATCCGTTCGCGTTCCTCAATGCAGCTCCTGTTCAGAGCGGGGATCTTCGCCCAGGGGGTGCTTCCCATACAGTAGTCAAACGACAGGCCTGGAAAGGCTTATGTCTGAGGAGGGGGCTTGGGACGGGTCGATTTACAGCATCGCTGATACATCCTGAGTTCACTCTGGTCCTCTCCTCTGAAGCAAGCACCCAGCTCTCGCCTTCAATTAGCCCAGCGCTTGATGCGATGAATATCACTCAAGATGGGCGCTTGTGATCACCATGCCCTCCATAGTTAATACGCCAGACAAAGATCACGTCGAGGCTCTTCCTCAGATCCGTCCTCCTTTTAATCCGCCTCCTCATAATGCTCTGTCTGTCCCCATCCTCCTCCACCGAAGCGACAGGAACAAGTAACATTGTCAAGAACATGTCGGTGTCGATGGTCATTGGTCGCTGGCAAGTCGGTCGAGTTGCCCCTCGGCACCCTGGGCCTCATGGCAACCGGGACCAACACCTATATGTAATATACATACGTACATACACATATACATCTTCACATATGTATATATCCATGTATGTATGTATGCCTGTCTGTATGTATCTGTATAGAACCATGGAGACAACTAGATGTGTATAAGCATGTCTATCTGTAGGTATTAATATCCATTTTTGTATTCACACCCAGCGCGACACCCCCCACCACGAGAAAAGGTCGAGACATCCTTGCAAATCTGGGCATCGCAAGCTGATCGTGGCGGCCGGCTGTTCGACATCTCCGGCCCCCAGAGGCCGTCTCCCAGTTCCGGGACCTTCAAACAAACACTCGGGATGAAAAGCCAGCTGCGGGCGTTGGGTCGAGATCCCCGGGGGGCCCGCGCCACTAAGGAACTGCGACGTGGCATGAGGGGGGCCTGCGCCCAGCGAGATGAAGAAACAACTCCAAAACAACCGATCGGATATTCGGGGATGGACAAACCCCCCTTTAGTAAAACGTGGTTTAGTGAAAACGACTTCGGGCCCAAACCTGGCGGGCGCAAGCCTGGAAAATAACGGCCACGGCGCCCTCTCGAAAACCGAAAACGGACAATTCACTAATCGACGTGTCACTGTTGGGGGTTCTGTCCACCCCCGAGATATCTCGGTGTCCCCCGCGTCGGCGATATGAAACCTCCGACCACGGGGTCCGAGATGACAGCAGAAGGAAAATGACGCGATGCACAGGCGGTTGGGAGACGCACAGGGGCGGGCTCGCAACACCTGCGGAGCGGGGTGCCTGGTACCCTCAGGTAGCCTCGTCGCGGCACTGGGACCTGGAGTGATGCTTAGGGGCATGGCGCTTGAACAGGCAAGGACTCGTCGTCGAGGTGGAGGGGTCCAGCTGGGGTTGGCTGTGTGGGGGAGGGCGGGAATCTGGAGGAACGAAATCCGCAGGACGAATCTCGGAGCAGGAAGCCGGGCGCTTGGAAAGCAAGTGCCCCCTGACGATGGCAGAGGAACGCCAGATCTCTGCAAGAGGAGGCGGGCAGAGGTCAGCCACGACAACGCGGAGGCAGGCTGATGTGAAAGAGGCGCGCAAACCGATGGAAGCAACACAAAGTAAACGAACTGTCGAACTGGCAGTCGATGGCAATGAGCACCACATCGATACAAGCAAGCACAAACACTCAAGTGCGCACGTGGACGTCTGCATGAGAACAAGCCACGGCACGCAACAGCAAAGGAGGGAAAGCGCTCGAAACCATGCAAAGCTAGAGAGGACTGGCACGCAGGCCACGGGGCAATCTTAGAGACTTCGTTCCAGTCCACTCTGGCCGCCTTCCAAGCATGTTGTGCGGCCTGGGGACGATCGTTGGCCGCTGGTGTGGCGGACTTGTCATCGAAGTCCGGGCCCTGGGGCCCTGGCATCCCATGCTGCCGTCGAGGCACCCGCCTGGGGTCCCCTGGCCCATCCCCCGTTATATGTCGGGGAGACGTAAGACCCGGGTACGGGGGACTCGGAAATCCCCGACGCGGTCGTCAAAAAAATGACGAGGCCGAGCCTGCATTTTGACGAGGCCTCCCGCTGCAGACATCCCACGAAACTCCTCCTCGTCAAAATCCGAGGCGCGGTCGTCAAAAAACGATGGCGAACCCGAGTCCTGGCAAACCCGGGTCTTACGCTCCCCCGAATATGTATCGACGGCTAGCAGAGGCCAGCACAGGCAATGAGAAGCAGAGGCATCTTAACCAAGCGCGCACGATACGCACATGCGAACGCGATCTTCAATCTCTGGCACCTTTCTGTACGGATGTTCTCTACATTGACCTACGTGAACCTCGACAACCCATTTTACGCTTCAGCATCTTCGCATGCTGAGCTGCTCATGCTGCGTGGTAGCGCAAATAAGACAACACACAAACTCGATGGCGCAACCGTACTCGTGGTGTTGCTGGGAAGCACCTACTTGCTCACGATCATTGAGCCGAAATAGTTCTGGTCCTCCTCCTCGGGCAACACACGCAACGATTCTGCTCAATAGCCCAATCCAAGTTCTCTCCACATGAAGCCTCGTCATCCTACTCGCCTTTCCGACCTCTCCAAGTTCCAAGTTCGTCGGCCATCACCAGAGGCCGCGGAGGCATAGGGGGAAAAGAAAGGCGACAAGCGGGATGAATAGTATGGGAGGAAAGGAAACGGGGAGGCACAGCATAATGGGGACATGTATACGAAAAGTAAGCCCCTTGGAGCCCTGAGCTACAACCGCGTATTCATGAGCCGAGAAACGCATTTCGGTCCCATCGATCGACTTCGCAACTCATCTCTACTGAGCAATCGAAGGGGTGGGGAGAGCAGGCCAATCACGAGGACGAGGGTGACGTGAAGGCTAGGGACAGGAGTATGAGGACCCGCGCTCCCAACGCCGCGAAACAAAACATGACGGCATTTGGAGAAATAGGGTGTCCACTCAATAGCGCCTCTTCAAATCGCACGCTCTCTAGCTGGTTCGGGGCAAACTGCAAGCGGACGTCGTTGCATGTATCTGGAGGCCCCCCAAATCGAGCCCGGGTGGATGGGGTCGGAGGGTCGCGCCACATCGTCACTGCATCGCCGATGCATCGGCGGTGCGCCGGCGACGTCGAAGATGCATCGGCGCCGTCGGCGTGGAGAGAATCGGGCGCTGCCTTCAGCCGCATCGCCGGTGCATCGGCGATGCGGCGCGATCCTCCGACCCCACATGCTAAGACCCGTTTTGGGCGGCCCGGCATGTCGTCTCCTCCCTCTCTGAAGGGGCCCCAGGACACACAAATAAATACACACATAAAAATACCCCCCATATTTTCCCATATTTCCTGGGTTTCTGTCTTCCCCCCCCACTTCCCATGTTTTCCCATATTTTCTGGGGAGTCGAGAAATAATTGTGTCTGTGTGTGTTTTCCTCTCCTGACTCTCCTCTGCCTCGTTCTCGTGGTTGGGAGGGCTGGCTACGCCGCCGGGGCCCGACATGGGGGGGGTCCTCGCAGGGCCTCCTATAGGGGCCCAGGTGGCAGGGGACCCGACGGGGCACGGCCAGGGGGGGGGCCCGCGGCGTCGGCTGGCCCCACGGGGTGGGGGGGTGGCGTCCAGGGGAGGGGGCGTCCAAGATGCGGGAGGGGGTGCTCGCAGATCGTGGCGGAAGCAAGGAGTGGATGCGCAAGGTTTCTTCGGGATGCCAGTAGACACCCTGCAACTCAGTGATATGCGATGTAGGTCCACACGGAGATAACTCACCTTGGCATCCACTGATGGAGGTTCTATTCCCACATTGGCACCCACTGATGGAGTCCGCGGGCGCCAGGGTGTGTGAGACGGTCAGGCGCTGGTCTAAGCGAGCGGTGGGCTGCACCAGAAACTGATACAGGCACAAGGCCGAAGAGCAAGAGACGACAGAACAAGACAAAGACGGAACCCGATCAGACCATGTAGGTCGGCGCCGGAGCACCGGAAGGGGACATGCGTCTGCGCACGAGCAGCGACGCACAAGCGCTGGGTGGAAGGCCTATGACATCCACACACCCCTGGACCTCACCTCCCTTTGGGACGCCCCTGAAGAGGAGGGGGTGGGCAGGGCGGGGGGCGGGGGCTGATCGTCGGGGGCTCAGCCGTGGAGCCAGTCCGGGCTGCGCAGGGGGGTCTACTTGGACAGGCCGGCGCCTGCGCGCGGCTCCTGGCGGCGAGCCCAGAGAGGAAGGCAGAGATGGCGGGGCTCCCTTCAGATCCTGGCTTTGCAATGCTTTTGCAAGGGGGCGCTCTCGCCCAGTTCCGGAACCAGTGACCCTCACAGATCGATCCAGCTCGAGAAACGACAGAGGCAGATGGGGTCTGGGGCTCGGGTGGTGATTTTTTAAATGTTGCAGTGGATCTGCAATGTCAGATTTCAGAATTCTCAGGACGCTCAGAAGGCCTCCAGCCTACTGATAAGCTTTTAAGCCTTCTCTGAAGACGCAGACGGCTTCTCACGGGCGCGAGGTTGTCTGAGGAGCCCCCCCGCCTTCTGAGAATGCCTGCCCTCGCTTCCTTACTGGCCTCGCCGCTGAGCCTTTTGATTTCCAGTCAGATCTCACCTTCGAGTGAAACATCGGCGCCTGCTTTTTTTGGTGCCGTGTACACATAGGCTGAGGCATTGAACTTGGCTGTCCCCGCTTGCGTGCGCCGTGCCCGTTCGCCTTTTCGGTCCAGGGGCCCTCTCCCCGATCCCGAGACTCCAGAACTCGGCCCGTCACGACGAGCCTGCCCCCGCTGCCCAGATCACGGAGTCGAGAGTTTCGGCCCTGGCGAGGGGTGGGCCAAAGCGGCGGGGCCCTTCCTGATCGCACCGCGCCCCGACCGCCCACGCGCCGTCGCTGCGCTGCGATCTGGCGGATCCACCTGACCAGGCAGTGGTGCGCGCCGCTCGTGGACAGGCGCAGGATGCGCTGAGAGACTCGAGGTCGTGAAAACAGAGGCGACGACCACAACACTCACGCCTGGAATTCTGCTGTTCCCGTCGTACCTACGGACCGCAGCACGGACATCATTTCGAGCACCCAGCAAAAGTATCGGACGCCTGCCCGACGCGCTGGCGACATGTCGAGCAAGTATAGCCTCCGAAATCCTGACACGTGAAACTCCTTCAAATTGGGTGCTTTCCTGGTGCTCGAAATTCGTTTCGGAGACCCAGGCTAAAGTAAGTCGGGACATCATAAGCCTGGAGCTCCTGACCCCATCTACCGCTTACGCGCAAGTGACCCTGGGCATGGGTGCCCTTTGGTGCGCGGCCTTCAAAGGCCGCGGGAGGTCAGATACACGCGCGCAGGCCATTGTTGGGGGGACCTCTGTTGGCCCATACCAAACGTCACTCCAATGAAGGGTCACTCTCACGTGCCGCCGATCTCCATTTCAAACATTTCTTGCCCCGGGTCGATGCGTCAATGTCGCGGGGACCGAGATATAGCCGAAACGGCCAATTTCAATGTTTTACCACGCGCAGACGGCCCGTCAATCTTCGCTCCAGTGCGGGTCCCCGGACCCCTCCTACAGACGCCATCCTGGCCAGTTTGACGAGCTGCGTCCAGCCGTGGCCACGAAAAGGCCAGACCTCGAAAAATGGAGAGTAACAGTTGCAGTCGTGGTTATAGATTTGCTCACGGCGCCCGCGCGAAGCTGCGTGACATCTGTGGCAGCTCAGCAGCTTCGCGGGCGCGCGTCGCGGTCGCTCCCTCTTGTGGTTGTCCACGTACCTGCCGGTTTCGCGCGCTGGCGGGGGCCCCCTTGCCTCCTCCTCCTTCCGTCCTGGTCCGTCCGTCTTCTCTGTCCGCCCCACCCTCACCTTATTCCCTCCCCACCTCCTCTTATCTCTCCCTCCCTTCGCCCTTCCCCCTTCCTCCTCCCTTCCTTCCCTCCCTGCCAGGCCTCTCCCTACCTCTCTCAATTGATCGGATATGTGACGTGGCACTAAGCTGTTAACTGGTACACCCGCAAGACATCGGAAGAACTCCCCTGCCATTGGAGCCTGCCAGAAGCGACTCACGTGCTGGACTAACTCACCGAGGCGCGAACATATGGCCAGCCGGCGCAAAGGCTGCCATGAAGGCGGGTCCCCCTTCAATCGAGTCGGACAGTCCAAATCGGATCGGCCAAACATCGAATCGGATGTATCACAAAAACGCGCGACGGACCCAACCAGAATCGGAATCACGCCTGGCTGTCGGATCGAAATCGGAATCGAAAACGTGGCGCAGGAATCACAGGCGGAATCGGAAAGGAAAAACATACTCGGGCTGAAATTGGAATCGAAAGAAGGACATCGAAATCGGATCTGATCGGGTCGGAAGCGGGCCTGTGAAGGTCGAGCTGGTGAGATCGTGACCAGGGCGAAGTTGTGCGCTCGCGGACTCAGCGCATGCCACAGCTCCGTAGGGCATCCAGCGAAGCGTCCACCAGCTCGACATCCTCTTGGGGTTCAGGCGTGTGAGACTGAGACAACCGTGAGGTCACCACGACGCCGAAACATGAATATTCAACTCAGAACCGCGAAGATAAAAAAGCACGGTTCGACCAATTTAGACTGACCGCCCCCGCCCAGATCCCTCCGTGCTCACCCCATCCTCTGAGGACCTCTCGGCTTGAGCGCGCCGTCGCCGTCGCTAACGCCCCTGTTACTTCTGTTGGCCGATGCTAGAAGTGCCCCTGGCTCAAGGTGTTACCAGGATTTCCAAGGTGGCCAGCAAGGCCTCCAAAACACCCCATCATGAGGTCTATTGGGCCCCAGGGGGTTCAAAATTGAGCGAGACAGCCTGGGGGGCACCCTGGGCCAGGGGCACATTCAGCAACCCTCGATACTGCCCTGGCTCGACGTCTCGCCTGCGTTCCAAGAGCGCCGGTGCCAGAGCTGGGGATGGGTTTCTCCTCGGAGGCCTCAGGGCGCATCGCAAAACGTAGCACGCTAGCCCTGACGGCGTGCTGGCATGGCCGCGGCTGCCTCCTCGCGTTGTCTGATGCGTGCAGCCAGCGCCTTCGGGCGCGTTGCCTGATGCGTGTCAGGATCAGGCACGCGCCCGAAGGCGAGGAAGCGAGACCTGAGGGCACTGCTGGTTGCAGCGCAATCTTGGTCGAGGCACGGCGCGCGGTGCTGGAGCCCGCAGCAAGCGTCCCTTTCGACCTACAATGGGGCTGGAGACCTTGGCTAATTCCTTTGAAAGCGCCTTTGCCACGCGGTCCAAGCTTTCCGTCGCGCCGACCAGCCAAGTTGAAACCCCGCTCGCTCGTGTAGACACCACATCGGAAACGTAGAACAAGCGGTGCTCAATGGGCTGTCTGGCGCAAAGTGGCGCGCGGGCGGTGGCGGTGCGCGCGACGGAGGACCGTGGTTAAGCTCTACACGCGAACGTCGGCCTCCTATCCCCACAGGCCACGGTGAAACACTTGCTGCAACGCGCCACGCTTCCCAGGCAGGCCGGGGCGGCACGAGGGGTCTCGACAAGACTCAAGCTTCGGGAAACTGGAGGGCACAGGACCAACCGTAGAGACAAGGTGTCGGAGCAGAACAACGTCAGAGTGTGCTAGCCCCTGAGGGGCAAAGCTGGGGCGTGAATGCACGGTGCGCTTCGCCACGCCGTCAGCGTCAGCACTGCCCGCAGCTATCTTGAGCTCGTGCGGAGAAATGGCCCGCGAGCACGCCCCCAGACTGGTGCGCCAGCGCATGTGAGAGCGAAACGATGCTAGAAACGCAATGTCCTTTTTTCCCCCACATTCAAAGTGGGATTCTTGATTTCTCTAGACACCCCGCGCAAGAACAAGAGAGCACACCCTCTCCTCTTCCCTAGTCGCACACTCATACACTCAATCACTCACACACATCATCACTCACGCTCACTCACCAACCTTTCGCAAAAGCAACACCCCCTGCGCGTGGCCGAGGCGGTGGGGCGGCGGAGGGCGCTTCAGGCGCAGCTGCACGGTCGCGCCGATCTCCACTACGTCCTTCCTTGGCCTGCGGGGGAGGCCGCCAGACCGCGAGCTGCCGTTCTGTGCCTTCGTGCCCTGGCCCAAATGCTGGACTGCAGAGTGACTGCTGTGAGGGTGCAGTCAAAACTGATGGTGAGGATGCGCGACAAGGATGCCCCAGAGAACCCTTCCCCAGTGCTCCCACGTGGTTTTCCCAACGACTGGGGTATCGCCCAGCTCACCAGCAGGCCGACATTTCACCCACACGGGCACCTCCAAATGGCAGGGGGGGCGGCGGTGACTTGCCGGAGGCATCCTCCGTAGAAGAGGATGCAGTGTAAATGTTGCATTAATCCTCACAAGGAGGATAATCCTCCTACACTCACAACTGAAGGGGAGGATGCGCGCTAAGGATGCAAGCGCCTTGAACGCCCACGCCGAAGTTGTTCGAGCGGGGCTGGCCATCGAAAGTGGCTGAGGGTGGACCGAAGATGACCGAAGAGGCAAGGTAGAGGAATGTGGGCGACCGTAACATCTATCGACTAACCCGTGCACTCCGTGGCGCTGCGCGGCAGACCTGTCCACTGGCTTTACTTCTAATAACAGCAAATCAATAAGTTTAAGGCCCTCAAGGAGCAGAGCTGAGCTCCAGGGCTCACGCCACGCAGATGACGGGGATACAGGGTGTCGCTGGCCTCGGATTACCAGATCGGCCCTTGAGCCCTAGTGCATATACGACGGGGCGCAGGAAGACGTGCTAGTAATTACTGTGCGCCCCCCTTGCAGGGTCATACTCGATCAGAACATTCGGGGATGGACAGACCCCCCTTTAGTAAAACGTGGTTTAGTGAAAACGACCTGTGGCCCAAACCTGGCGGGCGCAAGCCTGGAAAATAACGGCTACGGCGCCCTCTCGATAACCGAAAACGGACAATTCACTAATCGACGTGTCACTGTTGGGGGTTCTGTCCCCCCCCGAAACATAGAATAGGAACGTGTTACAACATATTGTCAAGTGGCATGGCCAGAGAGCGCCCGCAAAGAAGGTCGTGCGTGTCGGTCCTGTGGGGCGGCGTACATCGTCCTTCCAGCCCTCTGCGCGTATGTGCTTCGGTGTGGTCTCTCTTATAATCCCTACTCAAGGCATTCGGTGCGACTGTCACCTCTCCGGCACCAGCTTCCGTCTCTCCGGCTCCGGTCTCTCTGTCTCCGACTCCGGCTCCTGTGCGTGCTACCCTGGCGCCCGCCATTCTGACTACAAGTTCGACTCCAACTGCCATACTTCCGACGCCTGCTCCCTTCTGTCCGACCTTGGCATTCGTCACCGCGCCTCGAGGAACGAAGCATAATGCCCTTAGGCCTTCTCGAGCTCGCTGTATCGGGCATGGAAATTAGCTTGAAAGGCCCAGCCCGTGGCTTTCCAACCAGCCCAGGCTGTCATGAACAAAGCGTCGCTCTAGAAATTGACCTCGAATCGTTCGTACTCGCTGCTCCTCCTCTCATGTGCAGATCGTTCCTCTGTTAGTTGACCTCAAAAGACATGCCCGCTCGCTCGTTATCCTAGTCGCGTGAGGGACTTTAGCCAACGCGGGCGTAAGGGATCTGAGGATTCTGCTCTATAGGCTCCCACTGGCATAGCGACGCTGTGCCAACGAGCGCCGAGAAGGTGTTGGAATTAAGTGCGCATGGTGTGGAGCCAATCGGCAGAGCGGCGCTCAGCTAATGGGTCCCGTAAATCCAAGAATATACTGCTCCAGAACTTCCATCGCTTGCGTTCGGTAAGCATGCTGACGCTATCACCCAAAGGCCTCTTTCCCGCGACCCTGTGACATCCTGCGAAATTTACTGCGGTACTCCTCATCCACCCTGCTCCTCCTGCCTCTCTTCCTTCCCCTCCTTCAATGACCACGCTCCAAAGGCCCTCAAGAGCCGTCCGCGAGGCAACCGAGAGCTACCTCCAGGGGCCCTAATTTGCATCAGAAAGGCCTCCAGAAGGCCACTCTCTCTCTCTCTTTCTCTCGCCCTCTCTCTCTCTCTCTCTCCCTGTCTCTCTCTTTCTCTCTCTCTCTTTCTCTCTCTCTCTCTCTCTCCTTCTCTCTTTTTATGTATGAAGCTACACATACCGTGTTATATATATATATATGTATATATATATATATACGTACATATATACATATGTCCATACATACATTGGCAACTGGTCCGTGTAGACCCGGGAGCTTGGTCCCTATAGCCCTGGGTGAACCTTGTTCGTGTGCGTCCGCTGAAACGCCTGTTCCGCTGTTGGGCCCTTGGCTCTTCTTCACGAAGAGTGCTGCCTCCCCACGAGAACTAACCCCAAGGGCAAACACCCACGTCGGAAGTCTTGGTGGAAACAATACCTGTCGAGTGATCGCACTTCGGCCAGAGAGGCAAGCTGAAAACTCCCCGTCCTCCTCCTCCTTCCGCTCCACCCTCGCCATCTGCCCCTTCCCCCGCACCGTCATCCTCCGCCCCCGTCGTCGCCTGCCGCCGTCGTCCTCACTCCTCGCCTCCCCCGCCTGCCGTGCCACAGCGGCGCCCCTGCCCGGGCCGGGCCTCGCGAGGCCGGAGGTCGGGTCCTTGAACCTGGGCGCAGCAGCGGCGGGAGGCGGCGGAGGTCGTGGGAAGGGCCCAGCGCAGAGAAGGAGCAGATGCGGCAGGATCCACCCTCAGCTGCCCCCCGGCGCGGATGCAGGCGCCAACGTTTCAATTTATATAACGAGCCCGCCGCAGGCGCCGATTTTTTCTTCAAACCAATGTGGGTAAGTCGCGGGTGGGTCGCAAATGGGTCGCGGGTGGGTCGCTATAGGGTCGCGGGTGGGTCGCGGGTGTAGAAGGCAATCCACCCTCAGCGGGTCTGAGTGGGCACAACGGAGCAGGCGGAGGCGATGTGTGGCAGTCGGAACGACGACGAGGCAATGGGGAGCCGAAGACAGATCGATCTGGAGGAGCGAGAGCCGAGGAGGGGCAAGGCTGGATCACGAGGACTGGGTCTGTGCAGGTTGGGTCCTTCTGGCCATCGCTCGGACGTCCATGTCCTGTGTTTTTTGTCAGTTTCGTGCGTGGATGTCGCGGCAAATGATCAAGGATGCTCCTTGATGGTCCTCGCCGAGGAAAAAACGCACACGTCCGAGCGATGCCAGGCCTTTGCGTCCGTGGACGGCGTGCGAGATAGGGTCCCGGGGGAGAGCAGCAGCCTCCGACGAGGGCAGAAGGCCTCGGGCACGGCCCCTCCTTTTTGATCCTGGAAGACCCAAAGATGGCCACTTGGACGACAAAAGGGCTTCGGATGGGCATGGCGTCCAGTGTCCTCTCAGATCGCCGCCGCCCTCCACTGCCCCTGGAGGAGGAAGAGTAGGAGGGGGGAGGAGGAGGAGAAGGTGGAGGAGAAGGAGGAAGAGGAGGAAGAGTCTCACCCGGCTCCTTTATCATCCTCGTTCTCCCACACCCTGGGCTCCGCCGTCTCCGCGGGTGACTCCGCCAGGTCTCCCTCACCCCACTCCCCCCCCTCGCCCGCCGCGCTGCTGACCGATTGGGTTCTGGACTCAGTAGCCCAGCGGGCCCCAGAATCCCAGCGCCTTCCGTCAGAATCGTTCTCAGCGACAACGCTACCGCCGAAGGTTCCTTTTGAAACCGGGCCACGCTCAGCGGGAATACTTCAGTTGTGGAAACAATTGGTTTTCAAAATGTTTGGTCTTTAGAAGCTCTGCGTGGCGACGCCCCCGTCGCCACGCGTGCCCTCTGCGTGCCTGCGGGGGCGCCGCCACACAGAAGCACTGGAGACCGAGCATTTGGGGCGTCGCTACGCACGCCCTCTGACAGGGCTGCGACCACTTGTTAAAACCCTACAACTAATTAAATTCACCAGTGAAGTACCACCGCACGCTGCCTCCCCCTCCTCCTCCTCCTCCTCCTCCTCCTCCTCCTCCTCCTCCTCCTCCCTCTCCTCCTCCTCCCCCGTGACGCCCCCCCACCCAACGGACTGCCGGCGAGAGCTCCACCGCTGGCAGCTGCGCTCGCAGCCTCTGCCAATGACCTCTCTTGCCCCGCCGCTCCGCCTTCTCGGCACGAGCCCGTGGCACGGGCGCGCCACCTGCGGGAGGCCAGGGTAACTGAAGGGGCCCCAATACACACAAAGTAACACACACAAATAAAGATATTCCCCATATTTTCCCATATTGTCTTAGTTTCTGTCTTCCCCCGCTCTCTCCATATCTTCCTATATTTTCGTGGGGATCGACGATTAATTGTGTCTGTGTGTGTTTTTTCCTCTCCTGAATAACAGATGGGGAAGGCCAAACGTGATGGAGATGGACCGCGCGGCGGAATGGAACGAGCCGCCGGACGCCCTGGCTAGGGCCGGGGCGGCCGCGACCCAAGGAGCTCGCCACAGAAGTACAGCCACCAGCCACGCTGCCTCACGGTTCCTCTCGCGTTCAAGCTTTCCTCGATTTCCCCCCCACCCCTCTTCAATCACCGCTGCCCGCCTTTTGCTTTGCTCCTGGTCTGATCACACTGCGCGCGCCCGTGGCCAGGGCCACCCCTGCGGTGGCCCAGGTAGGGGGTCTCAGCAGCAGGAGGAGGGCAAGAGCGAGGATCCAATTGTGCTCTTTTTTGTCCGTCCTCCCTGGTGGCACGGCGCCGCCGGGGAGTCGATCAACCCACCGAGCAGCGACCGCGCTGCTAGGCGGGGCGGGCGCGTTCGAAGAATTCGGAAGCCATAAGTCCTGACTATTGAGAAGGAGGAGGAGGAGGAGGAGGAGGAGGAGGAGGAGGATGAGGAGGGTCATCCGACCCAGCATCGTTGGCGGGAGCAGCACAAGCAGAATCTGGGCTAGCAGCTCCGGCGGCGGCAGCAGCAACGACAGCGCGACTGGGCTCGCGGCTCCCCCGCCCCACCCCCTGTGTGCCTGCGCTTCCTCCTGTGCCGTGCGGCCCGAATCGCGGTCGCCTCCTCCGCACCGTGCGTGCAGTACGCGCACGTGCCCCAAGATACGTACCTTGCTGTCAGACATCTTGGGCCACGCTCTGCGTCGATCTCCGGGGGGCCCGGAGGCGCCCAGGGCTACCGGGGGATAAGGAGGCTTCCTCGGGGCACCTGCTGCCAGGCCCGTTTCTTATTTGAGGCGCTCAGGGGTATTGGGGGATAAGGAGGTTTTTGTTGGGGTATTTGTTGTTAGGTTCGTTTTTTATTTGGCGTGTTCGCTGTATAGGCGTGCGCGCGCACGCACAATACGCGCACCCAGTATGCACCGAGGATGCGCGCAGAGCGAGGACGGGTTCGGCGGGGGCAGCGCTCGGGAAAGGAGCGAGCGCGGGCGGGGTGAGGGTGTCTGGCCCCTCTGGGGCTCCAGGTCTTTGCCGAGAGCGGCGCGGTCCCCCGAGGCGCCGACCCCAGCATCCCAAACACGCTGGGAGTTAAAACGAAGTTCTCGCCATGGCTCAGATACAGCGGGCAGGTCAGACTCATCGCCAGGCGGTCGCGGGTGGGAGTGCGAGGTCGCCCAGGGGTGGCACATGTCAGATTGAAGGAAGCCTGCAGCATGCGCCACCTGTCGCGGGCACCCCGTGGCAATCGCGATGCCTGATCTGCAGATGCGAGCGGAAACGAATTGCAACACATGCGTCTGATATGAGACACGCTTGTTCCCTAACTTCGGTGTCTGCGTCCTCGTCCCTAAGATCTTTGAACGGCCATGTCCGTTGGCATCATCGCTGTCTCAATTTGGGATGACCTTACCATCGTCGTCCCCACCACAATTGAAGGGGCCCAAGGACACACACATAAATACATACAAATAACCGGATTCCCCATATTTTCCAATATTTTCTGGGTTGCTGTCTTCCCCCCCCACTTCCCATATTTTCATATCTTTTCCTGGGGATAGACGATTAATTATGTCTGTGTGTTTCCCCTCCTGAACAATGTCTTTCGTCAGTGACGTCTCCGCTGTGACACTTTGTCCTCGCCGCCGTCGTCTTCGCGGCCACCCTGCTTGCTCGATCGCCATCAAACTGAAATCCTCAAATTTGACTGTCGCCAAGAACCGCCACTCGCCCTTCAGGTCGTCCGGCCTCACAAGCACGGACCTGCCGAATGATGTGAGCACTTTCACTCCGAAGTCCTGTGACGGGCGCGGCCATTATACACGAGAGTACTCGAGAGTCCATCTAACAACGAATTGATCCAACTCTTGCAATGCTGAGCACGATGTGCAGAACTGCAATCTGGAATGCTTGGGGCGTTGCGCTGCATACGCGCTTGCGTGACCGTGGGGCAGACAACCAGAATGTACTTTGATGCGCCAGAAGCAGACCGTAACAATACCAACACCAACAGTACCGCCAACAATAATACATATTGGAGTTCTGGGATGCCCTGAATCCAAAAACGTTTCCATCCGTTGCGGGGAACATCATTTATTTCCGCCTCCTTCCGCCACCCTTCCTCGGGCTTCTGCTTGCAGAGACGGCATCGTTTTACTTGTGCCAGCTTCTGCCGGTCTTCCGTCGCCTCCCGCAGAAAAAGAGATGACAACATTTTCGATCCTCGAAGACGAAGCCCTTCCTGGATTGTCTCACATATCTTGCGGGCGCTTGCTGTTACCCGCCAGCAGCACGGAACTGCCAACGTGCCTCACGATGGCCCCAAGGGCACATCCTGGAACCCTCTTGGGCGCCCCTTTGGAGCCGCCGCCAGGGCCTCGGGGGCGCGCCAGAGAAGCCCACATTCTCGCCATCGCTCGGACGTCCATTCGCTGTGCATGTTTCGGTTTGGTGCGAAAAATGAACAACGATGCTCCTCGATGGCCCTTGCCGAGAAAAAATGCGCACGTCCAGACGATGCCAAGCACAGTTGAGCGACGAAAAGATATGGGCATTACGCGAGGTGACACTGCGACCTTGCGCCGCAGCTTACGCGGACCGCCAGTGCGGCACGCTGCGTTGGAGACGACGGCGCTGACGCGCGACCTTACGCGGGCAGTTTTCGCGCCGATGTCGGCGCACACGAACCCATGCTTCAACGTCGCTTACTTTGTCAATCTCGGATGCTCGGGTTTCCTGGGGAACGGTCCGGGGAGGAGGGGGGCACACGTATGCAAAGGTGCTCCTTGCCCAGAACCACATGTCCAGGATCTCCCATGTGTATGCATGTACAACGCGTGTGCAAAATTCTTTGTGACGTTGAACGAGGGCGTCAACATGATATGATCTGCGACAATAGCTGCCCCGAGCGGGCGGGCGGGAGCTGACCCGTGTTCCGGCCCCGACTGAGCTGCCCCCCCTTCCCCCTAGCACCTTCGATCGGGCCAATTAAAAGTGATGTGGTCAAATACTCGGGATTTGGAGAACAGGAATTCCATCCGAAAATGTGCCGATATATTTGTGAAGCGGGGTAGTTTGACATCCCGACACAACAAAACATGCACACACAGACACAGACACACACGCGCACACACACAGTTTGATAAACCCCACCAAGCGGGATCGGGCCTCTGCCACTGCAAGACAATTGCGCGTCATATTGCCACGAAGTTTTCGGAACGTCGATGAGGAAAACACCCGCGATAGCGACGCATTCTTATCACCACCATCATCATCATCATCAGCAGCATCGTCACCACCATCATTATCGGTTCTTGCCATCGCATTGCAAGCTTCGCCAGAGCCCTGGGCTGGATGGGCCCATGAGAAACAAGATGGGGCGCATATCACCCTGCGCTTGACCGCCGAATTCTCTTCCGATGTTGTACCATGCGACAGACCGGCAAGTCCAGGCAGTTCAGGCAGTGGCAGTCCATGCGACGACAGCAGGGGTTGCACTGCGACGGCCTTTGAGTAGGGACCGACCGTCCCGGCATTTCTATAGTCCTACCACGAGATGTTCTTAGAACCCAGAATCGTTCTAATCACAAAAGCAAGTTGCTTAGAACATAGGCCCGATGTGGTAAAACAAAACAGACTCCGCCAGAAATGTTCTGAGAATTTTTCGCGGACGCCACGAAAGGGCCTCAGAACATTGTTTGCTAGGGCTATAGGCAAGACAGGACGCTTCGCCACTGCTTGACCGACCTCGCCTCACCAACTCCCAGGAGGGAAAAAACACACAGACACAATTAATCGTCGACTCCCCAGAAGATATGGGAAAATATGGGAAGTGGTGGGGAAGACGAAAACCCCAAAAATGTAGGGAAAGATGGGGCATCTTTTTATTTGTGTGTTTTTGTTTGTGTGTCCCTGGGCCCCTTCAAACTCAATTGTCGGGCGCCGCGCTCGCCATCTCAAGGCGTCGCCGGCCACGCCCGCTCTACGAGGCCCCGGTGCTCGCCGCGCGGTGCCTGACGTGCCGCTCGGGCATCCGCCCACGATGGCGACGCATCCTCTCCTCCTCCTCCTCCTCCTCCTCCTCCTCCTCCTCCTCCTCCTCCTCTCTCCTCCTCCTCCTCCTCCTCCTCCTCCTCGAGCTCCTCCTCCTCCTCCTCCTCCTCCTCCTCCTCCTCCTCCTCCTCCTCCTCCTGCCAACGTTTCCTGCCATCGTTGGCGCGCGTCGGCCCAGAGCCCTGGGCTGCATGGGCCCGTGAGAAGCGAGCAGGGGCGCACATTTCCCCGTGAGTGCTCACGGCGTCCGCCTCCGAACCTTATCCATGCGACTCTCAGGCGAGTCCAGTCCTCCTCCTCCTCCTCCTCCTCCTCCTCCTCCTCCTCCTCCTCCTCCTCCTCCTCCTCCTCCTCCTCCTCCTCCAGTCCTGAGCCATTGCGGCCCAGGCGATGGCAGCATTGCGCTGCGACGGCCTCGTCTCGCGAATTTAATTGTCGGCCGCCGCGCTGGATACGTACGGCGCCGCCTGCCACCCCGTATTCAAAAGGCCTCGGTGCTCGCCGCGCGAAACCTGAACTACCGCTGAGGGATCCACCCACGATGGCGACGCATCATCACCAACGTTTGCTGTCATACCATTGCGCGCGTCTCCATGAGCCTTTGGCTGGATGGACATGTGAGGAAAATGATTGTAGTGCTCACGGCGTCCCCTTCCGATCGTCTATTCATGCGACTAGCAGGTGAGTCCAGGCAGTTCAGGCAATACCAGTCCAGGCAATGGCAGCAAGGGTTGCGCTGCGACGGCCTTTGAGTAGGGACCGACCGTCCCGGCATTTCTATAGTCCTACCACGAAATGTTCTTAGAACCCAAATTCATTCTAAGAACAAAAAGAATGTACTTAGAACATAAGCCCGATGTGGCAAAACAAAACAGACTCCGCGTGAAAGGTTCTAAGAACATGTTTTGGTTGCGCTGCGACGGCCTCATCTCACCAACTCAACTGTCGGCCACTCCGCTTCATACATCAGGCGTCGCCGGCCGCGCCAAATATGAACAAGGCCCCGGTGCTCGCCGCGCGATGCCTGAAATGCCGCGATGCCGCTACAGGGAAGAGAAGAAGGGGAGGGTTCGAGTGGATTGGATTTGAGGAGGGGGAGGAGGAGGGGGAGGAGGGGGAGGAGGAGGAGGAGGAGGAGGAGGAGGAGGAGGGGGAGGAGGAGGAGGAGGGAGGAAGAGGCGGAGGAGGGGCAGGAGGCCCTCGGACCCCGTCCACTCGGACCCCGTCCGCTCGGACCCCATCCGCTCGGACCCCGCTCGCTTCTCTTCGTTCGCGACGGAGGCTCTCTGAGAGCGTCAATGTGATATGAGCCGCGTCCGCGACTGCCGCGCGAGCGGGCGGGCGGGGGGGGTCCCCTGTCCCAGCCCCGCCTGCGCTGGCCCTCCTCCCCTTTCTTCCTCAGAACCCGCAGGGGGCTCGTCAAGAACACACGGACAACAAAGATCTGGGGTCTCAGGCTCTGGGATGTCGTCCTGATAGATATTGTTTAGTGTATGCAGCGGGGTGTTTTGAAATCCTGGAATGGAACACGATGTTTTAGGACCCCCTGGGGACGGGATCTGGCCCTTGCCAAGGCAACACGATCGAAATCCAGGTTACCACGGAACTCTAGGAAACCGAAGTATACATATATATATATATATATACATACACATACATATGTATATTACCACGCATCAACATGTATGCACATAATACTTTTAAAAAGTAAACACCGCACCAAGAGCGGTCACCGCCAAGCCGGTCAGGCTGGCCCAGTGGTGCTCCAACGTCCCCATCCGAACATCCAAGCCGTCCTTGACCAAAGTGGTGGTGCCCGTGAACTCCTCGTCGGACCAGGTGCCTCCCCCAAACCAATCCTCTCCCTGTGACTTCCCATCCCCTATCTTCCTTCTCCTCCTGACCTGTGGGTCGGCAGATTCGCCCTCGCAACCGGCTTTCCGATCTAGTGTTTCGCTCGTCAATGAAGCTTCCGAGCGAAAGGACGAGGCGCTGCGAAAGGTCCATGGCCTATCAGCTCTTTGCAGTATCCCTCCTGCGTGGCTTCACTCTATTGTACCATCCCCTACGACATACACTCACCGTACCCCATTTCATAGTGGTGGCGATGTCTACGTATTGCAGGCACTGCCCCTGCACGGCCCATCACGCTCGATGTGTAGATGCGCCCTGTATAGCTGGCCATCGACATGTTGCCATGGAAAATCTCTCTCTCTCTCTCTCCCTCTCTCCTTCTCTCCCTCCCTCTCTTGGTTCGTAACCGCACGGCGCGACGACGACCCATGACGCTGAGAACGCCCAGCTTCGCGCTGACCGAAATGACATCGAAACACACGGGTGACTCGTTGCCCCTGGTACGCGTGGAACCAAGTCACGTGCACGGCCAATGCATGCGCTTCCTCAGCAGCCTATTCATACAATAAACCACGGCCCTTGGCGACGAATTCACCCCCGTGAGTAAAGTAAGCGCACGCCAGTGGATCACAGATGTGTACATGTGGCCTTGTCCAAACAAAAAGGGGCACCCTACCGCTCCCACCGCAATTCTCCCAAAGCAGATCGGTGACTCGCTTATCCTCCTTCTTGAGCTCTTCGAGCCTCTCTGCGATCATCTTCACAACCTGGCCCCACAAACATCGCATCTAACGCCTGGTCATCACATATCAAGACACGTTGATGTGCGATCCCGGACTGCAGACTTTCCACTGCGACGCACTGTCTTCACAAATGAGCAGGCGCGGGTAGGCAACACATGCTTCCTGGTCAAGCGCGTGCGATTGAACGTGGCATCGGCGATGGCGTGTTTAGCAGTAAGGGACCTGCTTTACAATTTTGTGATCGGGCGTTGCTGTCTCACCTGGCGCGCGGAGAATACCTGAAGCCTCCAGTCGTGCAGCCGCCCAGTGCTGGTCACATCGAGAGTGCCATGTCACAGCAACCCTGTCGTGGCGTAGTTGGAAGCGGTATGCTGTGAGTGCTCTTGTCTGGTCTGGGAACCACGCGCGGCGGCCAGGAACTCCTGCTTGGCGTGCCGCGGCGGCCACGGCGACACGCTACTCCATGCGAGCGGGTGGCGTTGAGCTCCGCTCCGCGGAGCGGGTGCTGGAAACACTCGGGGCGTCGACAGACGGGGACTGGGACGAGGACAGCGTGTCGCGCCGAGGTGCGGGGGACAAGAACGGGCGGCGCGACACGCTAAGCCAAAGTTCCTGTCCGCGGCGGGTTTGGTGCGACCACTGAGAGACTATGCGCTGACAACCCCCCGTTGCGTCGAACCGTGGTCCTACGACCCTACGGGCATGATTCCCAAATGCGGGCTCTGAGCAAGAGAGACGGCGCCACGACAATGCAATACTCGTGAGCTCTGGCCCCGGTTTCAATACGTAAAACACATATACTAGCTCAAATTGCGATGCATGTGTGCTCCTCTTTCGAAGCACTATTGGCCCGTGGGCTCCCTGCAAGCGCAGCTGAGAATCGCCGCGTTGCAAAACTTCACCTGGAAATCTCTCCCTGGTCCATTGGTGCCTTCGCGTTGGTGCGGTGTCCTCACCGTCAGCCGCTCTCTGGCGGCCTCCTGTGCGAGAGGCATCAGTCGGACTACTGCTGTTCCGAGCCCCCCCAATATCTGTGGCGAGGCCACATTGCCCGGGGCCGGCAAATAGTTCAAAGACGGGCTGCCAGTGCCATCACCGCCACCGTCGCGAAGCGCCGAGGCGTCGCCTGGCTTCCCCGCGCGGCGCTCGCCCGAAGCGCCCCCGCCAGCGCACGTTCGATCCAGAGCCTCTGCCCGGCTCGAAGCATCCAATTTCCAGGAGAGCGCACAGCCGCCCCAGCCGAGGAGGGGACGTCGAACGCACGACGCTGGTGTCCGAGCTGCGTCTCTCGGTCGCCTACCCCGGGCGTGTCGGCACTCCCCTTGCGAGCAGTACAGTCGGGGCGTTGACCTAAGGAACGAGAAATAGGGCACGAGGTCCCTGTTTCCCACAAGTTAAGCTCCGATTGTCCATGGAAAACCACAGGAAAACCCAAGGAGCACTGCGAGACAACTAAGGAACACGGAGCCCCTCCCAAACGAAAAGGGTTCCTTCTTCAGCGGCCCGACTGTACCTCTGTTGCTGCCCCCCCCCATGTGCAACCAATGACCTTCACAACGCCAGTGAGATCGGGAAGGCCTGGCGGAACCTATCCGCAAATCCTGCTCCGCTTGAAGATTGGCACCGCTCGCCACGGGGAGTTGCCCACGCAGGCGATTCGCAACACGCCTCTCTGCTACCAGCTCTATCACCCAAGAGTCCCCATTCGCTCCCCAAGAGTCGCGGGCTGGAACGCACACTGCTGATGGCCGCCCACACACTTGCCCGCGATCGCGCGACGTGCATGTGGTGCGGCGACAGGCACGAGCCGAGCGATCGCATGAGCCGATTGCACTCGCACAGGCAAGGGCGCTTGAACTGAACGGAACATTGGAAACGTACGTTTGCAGATGCGCAATGCGACTCTCCTTCCGAAAAGAACAGCATACACCACATGCCCATAAAAAAGAATCGGTCCATGAATCAAGCGTGTCAGAATTACGGATCACAGTGCACCAACAAGTATGAAACCTGCAATTCGTCATGCGCCGCGCCTTCCAACGCTTCTCCTCCTTCTCCACTGACATGACGGTGACGTTCTCACCATTTCGCAGCACACGCACCTCCGTAGAAGTTTTACCAGCAACGGAAGACTGGTTGGATGATGCGAGCTAAGGCAGTGCACGCTCACTAGGGTGACTGGCAGCTGAGGCGTTCATGTGAGAGCGCCCCCATTGCCAAAGCATCATATTGAATTTGATGTGATGCGGTTATGTGTGTGTGGGTGTGTTGTGTCGGCCGCCGTGCTTGACTTGCTTGACCGCGTCGCCGCGCGCGAGGCCGCGACCGCAAAGTGTGTGTGTGTGTGTATGTGTTCGTGTGTTTCGCACCAGGCACCCTGCCAACTGTAATGTATGTTTGCTCGTGTGTATTGTCCCACCTGCTTGGATTCACCTGCCCTCCACCCCCCCCGAGAACACGGCTTGTTCTTGAGCGCGTACATCAGCAACACGTCTGCAACTTATGTGACCGCGCCCCGTCCTGTGCTTAACCGACTGTTGTTCCAACACTGCGGAGGAAGGACACGTGTCGAATGGCAGGAAGGCGTGTAGAGAGAAAGGCATCGCGTGATGCTCAGACTTGAGATCAATGTCGTTGCGCTGGTCTCCCCTTCATCCTCCGCGTTGCCGCTTCCAGCAACAGTGCTGTCTCCCGCAACGTCGCCCTCCCGAAACGTGGCCCACCCAGGGTCATAACAGGCTCCCCGCAGACGCGGACCCAGAGAAGCCCTGCACAACTACCCTGCACATGGTCCCGTGACGTGCCCAGGAAGGCAAAGAGAGCGGGATGGCATTCACACACAGAGGCGCGCAGTCAGATGCGCGCCTTCAGGTCCGCGCCCTTGGGGTACTTGGCAATGATGGAGTTGAGGTCGTCCAAGGCGACGGGGGGATCCATGTGCGCCGCCAGCAGCGGGAAAGGCCCTCGCCGCACACTCTCCACTGGCAGCGGCCGTCCCCTGCCGCAGCGAAGCGTGCGCCCCTTGCTCGTCATCCCGCTCTGCGCAGCCTCCGCAGCGTCCCCCGTCCCGGGCCCCCTCGCAGCCAGGACCCTCGCTCCTGTGGTCTCTCTACCACCGTTCCTGCGGCAACGGCTGCCCCACGACTTGCCTCCAGGAGCCACCAGCTGCGACTGCCGCCCGGTGGCAGCCCGGGCCACCTTCAGCACTGCCTACGCCGCTTGGGCATCTTTGGCGCTCGAACGTCAAAACCTGCTCCCCCATGTGTGCATCCAACCGGCACTTGCTCAAGATTGCCGAGTGCACCTCGCCCGCGCTCAAGTTCTAGCGTACCAGCGCACAGCGTGGCCGGAGGCCCTTGCCCGTTGATTGCAACGCAAGCCAGCGCTCTCAATGCTGAGCGCGCTACTCGGGTGAGCGCCCGGGACAGGGCAAGGGGCATGGACAGCAAGATGCAAGTATGCATGCGCAGAAGCTCTCAGCATGCATTGCCCCCGCTGCAGCCCCACGCCGCCCGCGCGCCGTCCACAAGCCAAGCGGAGGGGAGATGCAAGGGGAGACGGGGGTTGCGGAAGCGGGAGCGGGTGGAGAGGTGGATGGATGACAGAGAGGCGTGCGGGAGGAGGATCACGGAGAGGGGGTGACGAGGAAGGAAAAAGGAGAGAGGAGGAGGATGACGAAGATCAGGACGATGGGGAGGATGACAGGGAAGAGACGGGAATGATGAGGGAGATGGACGAGGAGAAGGATGAGGATCACGATGAACAACATGAGGACGGCGGACGGGGACGGAATGCTGGGGCTGGGCAGGTGCGATTCCACTCTTTCTCTTCCTCTTCCCCTTCCAACTTCTGTATCACCTCTTCATCATCACCATCATCCATGGTGGGGCTATTTCGCGGCCATCTCTAGGCTGCCTTGGGGACACGCGAGCCCTTGTTGGGGCCCTCTGGGGCCATCTTGTGGCCTATTCGGGCCAACTTGGAACCATCCTTTTTGGGGCTACCGTGGAGCCTTCTCGGGATATATCGGGGCGTGTGTGGCCAATTGTCGGGCTATCTTGCGAAGTTTGAGAGCCCTCGTGGGCAGCCTCGGGCTTCTCGGGAGGCCACCTTCGGCACCCTTGCGACTCGTTTGAGACAAACCTGGGCCACATGAAAATCCTCTTTCACTCTCTGTGCCGCCCTTTGGCTCCCCCGACGCCTTCCTAGTAGCACGATGTACTATGAACCTTCCTTGGGTGGGTGGCGGGAAGTGTCGCAGAGTGGAGCCCGTCCTCCTCCTCCCCCTCCTCCTCCTCCTCCTCCTCCTGGCCCTCCTCCTCCTCCTGGCCCTCCTCCTCCTCCTCCTCCCCCCCCCGGCTCAAGCCGTTTGGGATCTTGAGCGTGCTGAGAGACGCGACGCGACTGGACAGGCCAGTGACACAGCGTTGGGGCTCAGCTTGAGAATGCCCAAGAGTAAACCCTTCACAGTCTGCAATGAGTGTGGCCAATGGGTGTACAACTGGCGGCTGGACAAGCAAGGAGGGCAGTGCAAGTGCGGCGCGTGGCTGGAACGGTTCCAGGGCAAGCCGCCCTGGCGCAGCAACCACTACGGGCAGCAGCACGCTGGAAGCTCAGCGGCGGCGTGGTGGGGGCCAAAGCCAGAAGAAAGCGATGGCAAGGCGGCGGCGCTGGATTTCCTCGCAGGGGGGAACAAGCAGCTGGCCAAGGAGATCGAGGAGCTCCAGCGCAAGCATGCGCCGCCGCCGCCCCAGCCGAGGCCACCTGATGCATGGCAGGCGCTCACGAAGGCCAAGGGACAGCATCAGAAGGCGCAGAAGTGGCTCCTGGAGTGCGAGGACGAGCTCGAGCGCTTGTCCATCCTCCACGATGAGGCGCTCCTCCGCCGCGACCAGGCCTTGGAGGACGCCTTCGATGCGGATCAGGCCCGCGCGAAGGCCTCGGTGGCCTACTACAAGCAGGTGGGCAAGGGAGAGCTCGTCAAGGCTGAGGGGGAGGAGCCTGCGCAGGCTGAAGTGCAGACGATCCTGGACTTTTCAGTGGATGACCGGTTCCTGGACGCCAGCCTGGACGACTACGAGGACGGCCCAGAGAAGGAGGCGGTGTTGGCCTTCCGCACCAAGTTGGCGGACATCCAGCAGGCGGGGAAAACATCTTTGCAGAAGATCGAGGAGGCAGAGGCGGCGCTCGCTCGGCAGCAGGCAGAGGTTCGCCAGAACCACGCGGAGGAGGCGAAGCAGCTGCGCGACCAGGCGGAGCAGCACCAGCAGCTCCTGGTGCAGCAAGTCGAGCAGCTCCCCAGCCTGCGCAAGCAGCTCCGGAAGAAGCGCAGGACGGAGGACGGCCAGGCGGCCTCAGGCGAAGCCGCCAAGGAGCCCGGTGAGCAGCCAGCGGCGGAGCCAGGAGCCACGGCCGCGGAACCAGCGGCTGCCCCAGACGCCGAGGCAGCCCAGAGGAGGAAGCAGGTGCTGCTGGACTACCAGGCGAAGGTCAAGGCTGAGCGCGCCGTCGCTGTCGCCGAGGGGGGCGGCAAGGGCAAGCCAGGCACTGCGGGGGCTGCTGCGGCTCCTGCTGGCGCTCCTGCTGCTGGGACGAGCGCAGGCGCAGGCAAGAGTGGAGCAGCTGCCAGCCAGGATAGACCGTCGCACCTTTGACGATCTACGTCCTGACGCGAGGCCAGCGTCAGGCACGGCTGGCGATCGCCAGCTCTTCTTTGCGAATGTGGAGAAGTGGGGCCCACAGGCCCACAAGTACGTGAACGAGTATCAGGAGCGACACCCACGGGTAAGTGTGATGGGCATCTGCGAGACCCACCTCTTGCCCGACAAGCAGAAGAAGGTCACGGTCGACCTCGATCGGGACGGCTGGAAGACCACGGCCACGGCAGCGCGGCCGTCTGGGCTGAATGAGACGGGGTGCTGTGGTGGAGAGATGATAATAGCGAGGCGGCATCTGGAGACGACCTCGTTTGATCATGTGCGAGTGGCAACACAGCAGCGAGGCAGAGACGATCCCTTCCGCGGGTTCGTGGCGACCACCATCCACGCGAAGGCGGGCAATGTGGTCTACGTGACGGCGTACATGGCGCTCCAGTGGGGGAAGGGGTCCCCGAACCCCCAGAAGTTGGCGAGCCTGGCTGCCTTCCTGAAGGCCGTGGACGACCCGTGGATCGTGGCGGCGGACTGGAACCTGGACCCAGAGCAGCTGCTGAAGAGCGAGTCTCCGCAGAAGGTCGGCGGGGTGGTGAAGACGCCGCAGGGGACGAAGGTAACGTGCGCCAAAGGGGAGCAGGGGTCTCTGCTGGACTACTGCTTGGTGCGCAAGGACTTTGCGGACCAGGTGATGGTAGAGGCGGAGCTGGAGGTGCCTTGGAAGGTGCACTGCGCGCTGCTCATCACACTCAAGGGCTCCTACCAAGAATGGTGGGTGAGGGCGCTCGTGGTGCCCAGGGCGCTGCCGCGGACGCAGAGGCCGAGGAAGAGCGCGGACCTCAACAGCGAGACGAGCAAGATGAAGCATAAGAAGCTGCAGGAGAGGAAGTCCAGACTCCCCCCGGAGGAGCAGGAGGCCTTCGCGAAGCTGTACGAGGAGGATGAGGTCTGCCAGGAGCCCAAGGCGCCTTTCCAGATGCCACTGGAGTGCTGGAGGCAGGCGGAAGAGCAGCTGGCGCAGACAGGATTTCCAGGGCCCGTTGTGGGCACGTACACGGGCCCGGCGCAGCAGCTGGACGACCACGTCGCCTACCAGGGCCGCGAGGAGCAGGAGAAGGACCTCTCGCATAGGCACGGCAACTGGGTGAGCAAGCTGGAGCTCGCACTGCTGGCCGTCCACGAGGTGGAGGAGTCGGAGAAGGCGCGCTACCTGGGGCGCGGGAGGGGCTTCGACCTGAAGTGGGTGAAAGCGAAGGTCACGCCAGGCAGGGCACACATGAAGTGCCACAAGTCTGACGCCATGTGCTATGCGCTCACGATGATGCAGAGGTACCAGACGCTCGCGCGTGGCAGGCGCGATGAGGCTCAGCGAGGCCGGGTGAGCTGCACGCTCAAGAGGATCGCCAAGGAGACGCTGGACCAGGGCATGGCAAACTTTTTCGGCAGCGCGCGCTTCATGGTCTGGCAGAAGATGATGGTCAAGGTCGAGACCCTCTCGGCGGCGCACCGACAGAAGCTGCTCGAGCTGACGGGCGCGCTGGCGGCGGCAGGGCAGGCGCGCGCGATGGGGGAAGCACGAAGAGCCTACATCAAGTGGGTGAAGGAGATGTGGAGCGACAAGATGGGGGTGCTGCACAAGCACGTGAAAGACGAGCCGACCATCGTCAACGAGATCTGCACGGGCACCTCCACCACGGCGGACCCTACGGCGATCATGAATGACCGGGCGTCCAAATGGCGAGGGTTGTGGCAAGACCCGAAGGTGAGCTTGGAGGACATCCAGGGGCAGCTGCAAAGGACCCTGGAAATAGCGAAGGAGGAGGACTACCCGCCAGTGGAGCAGGAGGAGTTCGACAGGGCGCTGAACTCCATAAACGGCAGGAAGGCGATGGGCGTGGACGTGCTGAGCTCGACGGAGGTGCAGAGGCTTCCGCACGAAGCGCGCGAGGAGCTGAGGCAGCTGATGAACGATGCCGAGGCCCAGGGCGTCTGGCCTCGCCAGTGCATGGCGGTGGTGGCGGCATCGGTTCCGAAGCCTGCTGGGGGCGACAGGGTGCTGGGCATGATTGCCCTTATGCCCAAGATATGGAGCAAAGCTCGAGGCGGTATCGTGGACAACTGGACAGAGCAGCTCGGGGCATTCTGGGACGGCGCCCTGCGAGGGTGCTCTGCGCTCAGGGCTGCGCTGTACCGTGCCCTGCTCGACGAGGCGGGCAGGGAGATGCAGCTGGCGTCGGCCACTCTCCTCCTCGACCTCCAGACCTTCTACGACACGATCAGCCTGGCGCTGCTCATGGAGCTGGCAGTGCAGGTGAAGTACCCT